GAGACGTATGGAATAATGACTGCTCCTGAAGGCCTGCAGGTCGAGTCTAGAGGATCCCGCCGGTGCTTAAAGAGTATCCTCAGGGAGCTTCGAAGCCAAAAAGCATGGCCACCACGCAGCGTACGCAAAGGAAGCACGTTTCATTCACTAGCATGCTTAGGGAGCGTAATTCTCTCCGGTAATGAGGCAGCCTACTCCGATTGTATAGATGTAGTCCCGCGCGTCATAGTAATGCACAATTGGATGTGGTGGAAAGTTGGTAGGTCCTAAGTACTTGTAGGTGCCTGGGCTTCTTTCTAGATACAGAGAGATGGACAGGTTAACTAACCTCTTTACGCAGATCGTTACGTCCACTCCACGAACTTTATCAACTCAATCTGATACCTTGCTAATGACGTTCATTCCTCACTCATGCACTCTCATCCATTCAGATCAAAAGACCGTTCTACCCACGTCCATTTAAGAGTTCAAATTTTCTTCAAGAGACCGAATTTACTATATCATCCGGGCTCACCTGTCAGGGACGACGCAGCAAGATTTTCTTTTCTTTTCTTTTCTTTTCTTTTCTTCTCTTTTTTCTTTTTTTTCCCTTTTCCTCCCCTTTCTTTTCTTCTTTCCCCTTCTCGTCTTTTCTTCATCACAAGGCGCGAAACAGATTTCTTCAGCAAAGTGACGTATGTGGCTTTCTCGCGATCGAAGGCTGCGAGCTAGCTTAGCTCCTCGCTGGGTTTTTTTCTCTGCAGGGCCAGCTGACGGCTGTTTGGGTTTGATGGAGGCAAACAAAGGAGGGATTGGAAAAAAAAATAAAAAATAAAAAAAAGTATGATCATAAGATCACAGCTTAATTTAGTTCGTAGAACTCGTTTCGTGGCGTGGAAATAAAATACAAGGATGAGATTTGCCTGTCATTGACGACATTACCGGCTCTTACGGGGGTTTTGTTTTTGAAATTATGTCTGTTCGCCTTTCGAGTTTGTGGTGATGGGAAGGGGTTTTTTCTTTATTTCTGCCTGGTCGATTAATTGTCTCTTATCTCTCCCTTTATTCTTTTATGAGAAGTTGAAGGATCGGTCAGTTGCGGATAACGTCCATTTATTTACCCCTGGCTCGACATAATTTGTTAATAATACAACGCAGACATGGAATTGGATTTTAAAAGCATCCCACGCAGAATCCCTAGCTCGGTAACTCCATTGCCAGAGAAAGACAGGTGTGGCAGTCGTCGCACACACACACATACATCCCCCTCCCCTCCTATAAACTCCTCGCGGCAAAAACAGCAAATTGTGATTAAAAAATATACAAGCAATCAACCTTAACTCCCAGCTGGCACAGTGGACGGCGGATATACAGCGCCAACTCGTTAAGAAACCTCGCAAGTCTCAATTTCATCGGCCCCATCATTCTATCCACCCATCTCGCCTCGTGGCAAATCGCTCTGACTCTTCCTGGCCAATTTCAACTTCAGTTTTTGCCTCTCCGCCCATTCGCGGCTAGCTATCCTGCCGCGCTCCGCCGCTTCAGTCCGTGCTCTTCTCGCCGCCTCCTCCTTCTCCCGCCTTTCGCGGTCTCGTTCAATTTCATGAATCCGGTCGCGCGCAAAAATCTCCTTCCCGCGCGATCTTTGCACGAGGGGTGTGGCATCAGCCGCCCTCGGGCAGGATGTCGCAGGGGTGATTGGGGATCTGGAAGACGAAACTGGTGACATCTCACTTCGCTGCTTATCGCGATCCTTTCCGGGGGATTTGTTGGGCGGGCTTGAAACCCCATTTGCAATGTCCTGATTCGCAGGTCGTGCTGGAGTACTTGCGGACGTCGTCACTGATTTCCCTGTAGCATTCGTGCCTGGCTGCGTATGACTGGACGCGGCACTCCTTGTCATAGCAGTACCTAAAGAGCTGGTTCGGGTAGACTCAGGCCTGCTAGCCCTTGTCGAGTTCAATGATGTATGCCTTTTAGAGTTATCAGGGTGGGCGTTTATTATGTTTAACGCTTCCTCTGCTTTAAGTGTCGTGCGACTCCGGCTTGCAATCGTTTCCTTCACCGGAAAGGATGGCGAAGAGTAGTTTCGGGGCGTCCTCGCCTTAAACTCTCGCCGTCGCTGTAGTTCTTGTTCTTCCTGCTTCAATCGCTCTTCCCGCTGCGCTTTCTGGCGCCTGGATATGGCTTCTCCTGGCAATTCAAATGTTGGGCGTGTGGGCGGCTTGGTAGATTTAGATGGTGTAAATCCAGGTTTTGATATGCTAGCAATGGCGGTGGAATTTGCCCGGGTCTTATTTGCCCGGGACGTCAGTGTTGACGTGGTATTCGAAGGTAGGTTAGAATGGCTGCTTTTTCTGGATATACTGATACGGCGAGATCCTGAAGGGCCGGATTTACTTGCAACCCGATCCGAGTTCTTCGTTGAATGTGACGTAGTGACGGACGATAGCTTAGGTCTCATGGACAGCGGTTGAGATTGCTTTGCTCCTGTAAGTCGTGACCTCGACCCATTTTCGATATGTTGGCTCTGGAGGGTAGAATTATGCTTCTTGGAAGCTATGTTTGTTCCATTGCTTCGCGAGACATGGTTTCCGTCAGTTGGAGTACTTGCTCTCACAGGAGAGTCAAGCCCGTTCTCCTCCATGACCGGCAGGGATTGTCCAATCTGTTCAAGAGCATCTTCAAGGGCATCTATAGCCTCCAAGGGGTCCTCGAATTCCTGGAAATCTCTGGCCTGGCAATGAGACGTATATGGCATGGATCGTGCGGCCTGATCTGCCCATTTGCCATTGTTATTTGATTTGAAAGCTGAACGTGAAATAATGGATTGCACGAATGAATCCTCGTCATCGCTAGCTAGTCCCTCCTTTACCGGACTTTTATGCAACTCTGGATCGAACCGTGGAGTCTGGGCAATTTGCGATGGAACTAGCTGTGGAGGTTGCGTTTTGGGGGAAATTTGTTCCCCTACGGCTTGGGACATTGGGTTTGGGGATATTATATCTACTGAAGGTATCTGTTAGTGTATACGTTTAACATAGTATCCCAAGTAATCAAAATAAAAGCAATCAAAAAAGGGTCATAGAAACCAACAAAATCAAGTTTTTACCCGCCTTTTTGTCTTCGTTGACTGTCTTCCATGTCGTTGCTGTTGGCGCAGGTGGGAGGGGTTTGGATGTCGTCTCTGTCGACTCCACTCAACAATGTAGTCCTAAATACCTTTATCCCAAGTTCTTCCGGGTTTATGAGGTCTTTGATGCTTCGAGATCTTTTCACAACCATCGGTCTTGTAGTATGGTTATTATTGGCAATCTCGTCTGTTGGTCGTGTCACTTTTGAGGAGATGGGTATTTTCTTTGGCGGGATCGGAGTAGAGTGGTAATTACCAGTTGTTTCTCCGAGAGGATTCCGTACACTGTCAAGTTTTGATGTAATATTCGAAGCTTCAACAGAAGAAGTATAGAGTGGGTTTGTAGGGTTCTTTATATCATGAGTGTTGTTGCGGCGCGAAACAGCGCGTGTGATGTAAGGCATTATAGAACTATGACTGTGTTCTGGGAATATTGAGCTAGATCGATGAATGGTAGCCTGGTCTTGACATCTAGAATTAGAACCATTTCACTGTATGTCTCCCAGTCTCAATTGTATTTTGTTGGTCTGGCAGACGGCTTGGACAGTGAATCCCGTATCACCGAGAACAAGAGATTACGCAAATAATTCCCGTAGCGTTATGTCAATTAAATATGGGCTATGAAACTAGCCAGAGGCAGGCCAACAGAAGGGAGTTCCAAGGCTTCTTGGAGGCTTCACAGAGGGCTGGATGATCGGGAACAAGTGTGATATAAATAAGGGGGAATTGACGCTGGACGCAAAGGACGCTGTTGATAGGGCAACCAACCGTGGCTAGTGTCTGGGCGGTGGGTACGGCCCGCTCAATAAGGCATCGTATCTTGTTTCCCCCCATAGATCACCCCGCATTGTGGAATCAGTGGAATAGAGGTCACCGAAGGAAAATAAATGCCATATGATTTCATGGTTGCACTATCAGTCCTCGTGATGATTGACTGTTCCGCCTCCAATCTTGGTTTGCACAAAACAAATCTGGACGAGAACGTTCAAAATAAATCCTCATAAACTGTCATATACCCATTGCCTCTTTATCTTCGATTAAATCTATCTACATAGAACGCCTATACAACCCGGGCATGCTAAACATATAATGTCGTACAGTACATGTACAGTACGAAGGTGTAAAAATGGAATCATCACAGCATTTAATCATCTACATCCATGCTCAGGCCAGTGGATCCTTCCAGATATTTGCGATGTGCCTGGCTATTCGGCTGGGATTCGAACCAGTGTTGACGGAAGAGGGATTTGTTGTTGGTCGTTTTTCTCAGTTTCCTTTCTGTCGCTATGAGGACCGCGTTCACTTGCAGCAGCTACTTTGGCTAAATATCTACAATCAGCCTCTGTATATTTTGTATCAGTTTATTTTCGTGAACTCACTGGATGCCATGCTGATTGCACTGAGAACATTGCCCCAATTAGCCATAACATATGCCACCGCTGATTGACATCAATGGTTAGTTTTTTCTTTGCGCCAGAGAGTATCTTTTCATTCATCCAGGGGGGGATATGCATGCAAGCCAACCTTCAGTCCCATCTTTGAGAGTAGCCAACTTCTCTCCCAGTTCCTCCATTTGTGATGCCAATGCGCCGCTCACATCACGGAGCTGCCTGAGGTTTTCAAGCTCGAGTTTTTTGGATGCTATTCGGGCTGCGAGAGGAGATGATTGCTGCGAGGAAAGAGGGTTAATTGAGGACTGGCGAAGGGAAGAAGAAGTCCCCGCGGAGGAAAATGCCGTTGGCCTGGACATTGCCTTCCAGCATTCTATGAGGAAGCAACGTCAACTGGACTTGTTTGGTGCAACTCGCCAAATTCATGATGAATGTTGAGGAGGATAACATGATAAGCGATATCAACACGTGACCCATTTGTCTATTCCAGCAACCAGACTAACTGCTTCTGGTCAAATGTCAACAAAGCCGCTCGTTATTGTTTTTGTCGCCTCGCCACAGCAAACGTCGAAATCAGTCCAACATTTTCCAACGACCTCCGACTGCAGAGAAGTCGAAACCAGAACTCCGGGATAATAACTATTTGGCTTATTTTTAACCGATTCCCTAACCTGCCTATAATTAATGTCCCAACCAGCTTTGTTCTGTTTCACTCCTCTTTTACCAGTTTTGACTCGACAATTGACTCTTCACAACCTACAACTATGGCGAGGTTGAATGATCTCCCCGCGGCTGCAGAATCCGTCGAGTCTTGTATGTCCTTATCGGATCCTCTATGTTTATGAGTCTCCAAAGATGTCCCACTGACTTGGGAACTCTTACTAGTAAAACGTCGGTTCATAAGGCAAAATCGCGAAATTGCCCGTGCGAACTCTATACAGTCCCTCCGCATACGCACTCTGGAATCCGAAGTCTCTCGCCTCCTTGTGGAAAATGCGGCCCTCCGTGAAGAAGCCATTGCTGCGAATCAAGAACTTGAAAAGTTGAAACATGATGGACAATTGGGCTGTGAAATCGATAATCTGAAATCGCAATTGGATGCAAAGCTGGCTGAATTTGGAAGCTTGATTGCAGACTTGGGTTCATTGCCTCGAAGAAGAGGTTTGCTCTCCAAGCCAAAGCGAAGATCCATTGATGGAGAGTTCCAAATTTCTCCGGAAACGGCTCGTCGGAGGTCTTTAATGAAAGCTGCTCGGCAGGTGACGGATGAGAGCCGACTTCCTGCTATTATGGAGGACAAATTTTACCCTAGATTAACGCTAGAGTAAGGATATACTATGATTTGACCCTCATCTCCAAGATGGGTATGCTAATGGAATTTACAGAAGTGAGGATTTTGCCGATCTAGTAGGTATTGAGGGTGGAGAAAACGATTCGCCTGGTGTAACTTCCACGCCAATTCCACAACCAACAATGTCGAAGACGATGGATCCCCCGGCGGATGAAGAGTCCTCGACAATTTCCACGGCCAACGAAAACCCAATTCAACCCTCGCCGTCCATGTCGAACTTGGGAGCGAGGAGAAGCAAAAGGGATAGTTCCCTGCTAAACAGTACCCCTCGAAGTAAGGATGTTGAAACCAATGAGCAAGATTTTGTGCCGATACATATTTCAAAATCCGGATCAAAGCGCAAACTTAGCGTACGGGATGATGATGACTTGATGTCCCAACCCTTCAATCACCATGATGATTTCCAATACACTCGACTAGCTGGAGCATCCAACTACACTTCAAGACACACCAGCGTAGAATTCGAAAAAACACCAACGAAAACCAACGCGAGCAAGCCGGAAAGTCGAAAAGTGGAGAGAACCACTGTTCGTCGTGCTCTAGGGCCAAGTATGCTTCAACCATACCCGTTATTTCAAGAACTAGGCTAATATGTTGATACATAGAAAGCACAAATATCACTCAAAGGACCTCTTCTCCTACCAAAAAGAATTCCGGCACTGGAGATTGGGAAAAGGATATCCCGAAACCTAATCCTAAACTCCCAAGGAATAGAAGCCACGATGCGATTGACAAATCGATTCGGGCGGTACCGTCTACCATCAAACAGACGAAGCAGGATGTTGTAGATATTAACATAATGCCGGAGCAACCTCCCGCCGAGGAAAACAGGGACATTACCCACAGTCTCCTTGCTGAAGGTGATACCACTTCTTTTGCATCTACGAATCCCTCTGAAACTCGTTTAGAACCAAGAGATACGTCACCCGTACCGGCGATTGGGATGACTCGTCCGCCCCGCCGGTCTCGTGGCTCTATAAGCTACGCAGAGCCAAATCTTAGGGATAAAATGCGGCGGCCTACTAAGGAGCTTGTAGATGCTGTTAGTGGTGATGCTCGCTTCAGGAGATCTTCGAAGTCTGATCTCGACTTGGCCAAGGAAAGGTGTGGTGAAGGAAATAGCCATGATTCTTATGCATCTTCAATGGCGTATAATGATTCATGTGCGAGTTTTCTCGGAGGAAAAGACCGAAATATGATGATTGACTTGCCGTCCAATGTCACCGCAAACAGGAAACGCCGGACACTCTCCGCAAATAAATTCGACTTCGTAACTACCCCAGAAACGGGTCCGTCGACGTCAAGCGTGGCTATATCAACTCTTATGGCGGGAAGTAAAGGGAGAAGCAATCGAGAGAGAGATGTTTCTGAAAGCTCCGTCGATTATGAACAAGATGTTGGTCTTCGGAATAGTTCGACTCGGACTTCTCGACGGCATTCCTCCAATCCCGCTACTAGTGGAACCCACTCAAGGTCACGTAGAAGTCAAAGTTCTACTACTCTCGCAAAAGAAAACGCCGTGGACGCCGAGGCAGTACTGGAATCGGCAAGGGTCAAGGCGAGTAACAAACGGAGTGACGATTATCACCAGTATGCTTCTTCCTCATCCACCACCTCCTCTTCCAATCTACGATCCATGAAGGGCGCGTCCGAATTCGATCATGATGTGTTCCTCGATGGGCATGAAGGGGCATCCGATGTTAAGAGGGTAGAGCGACTTGCGACATCGAGGCGGCGGAGTATGATGCTGTGAAAGATACTTCGGACGATATATATAAATTTCTTCACTTTTACCACTCTGGTTGAATTTGGAAGCGGAGAGGGAGGGATGGTTGATTGAGGATCTAAGCCGTTGTAAGGACGACTGACTCCTGATTACTTTTCCTTTCATGTATGTTGTTTTTAATAATTTATAATACCCATAACGCCCATCCTTACACCATTCCCTATTAGATTACCCTTCTTAAGCAGTTCCCTTCCTTTCCTCTTTTTGTCTTGCCTTGCTATTACGGTGCGTTTTTTCTCCCTAGCGGAGATAAAAAGCCAAAACTTGAGCGGTGTTTGAGCCTAATAAGCAATTGTTTGTCTGAGCACAGTTCACAAAAAATACCTTCTCGTTTTTTTTTCTATATTTTTTACATCAACGAAAAATGATAGAGAGGCGCATTATACAGTACATACATATGTGATACCCCAAGACCATGCTAGCCTACTTTCCTGAACATGTTCTTCTTTCATCAGTAGAAGAAAAAACCGTCGGAAATGTATGGGATGGGCTCAATCAAACGTGGGATTAAGCCAAAAATAAATAAATAAATAAAAATAAAAATAAAAAGTAAGAAGAAAGTTGCGAAATCCTCGATCGTTCTGGGGTCATCAAAATGGTATGTATATACATTGGTATTTCTAACTCACTCTATCGGTGCGCTATACGACGCACACGGGGTCTTGAACCACCAAGGAGGGGCTTTGTACTTGACCAAAACAAAAAGACGAAGCGAGAGAACGTATAGGGAGACGAGGATAATGCTCCCTACCTAAAGAATCACGGGGACGCCAATTCCCCATGTTTGTTTGTATGCCTGTATGTGCACATGTCCGCCCCGCACACAAAAACCCATCAATGCAAATCATAACACATTCATTCGTCCCATAAAAGAAAACATATGGTGCAAAAAGAGTTCCAGAGGATTTACTGGTCAACCGTAGGAAGGGCAAAGAAGAAGACCCGCGGGGTGGGGGAAGGGATATGGCTTATTAGAGAATAACCAGAGTCCCTCGCAAAAAGCTCTGGAACTTTTTGAAAACTGAATTGCGGAAATATGTTTCAAAATTGACGGCGACGGACTACTGCCCTGCAGTCCTCCCTGCTTTTTGCCCTTCTCTTTATCGTACTGCCATATTCATTCCTTTTTCTTAGAGCGAAACTTCGGCATACGCTCATACGCGTTTGGCCGCCGCTGACGATGCTGACGATGTATCTGTATCTGCCTGCGTTTATTCGCATCACTGCTACCGCTATCGCAACAGTTGTCGCTATCGGTCCCAGCATGACTGTCATCACACCCTTCATGTCCCGAAGGTCCATCTTGCTGAGAGCTGCTAGTATCGTGCAGCCTATGCTGGTGACAATGCATACGGTTAGCAGGTAGGCGGCCACTGGCCATCCTGGCTTCGCCAGTGTCAGCATCGCTGTCGCTGTCGCTGTCACCGGAGTCTGAAGAAGAGTCTGACGAGGATTCGGAGCTACTTTCGCCTACCGGCCGGGCTTTATGGTAGATGCAGCAGACTAGACAACGAAGTTAATGACTGATGGATTAATTGGTTGGTTGACTGGTGGAGGCAGGGGGGATGGGGAAAGGAAGTGGAGCCTGAATGACGACGGGGCTATGAGATATGCAGCTTGAAGGAGATCAAAGAGCGGAAAACCCGCTGCATTTAAAGGGATTCCCAAGTGATAAAAAGAAGAAGAAGAAGAAAATTGACATCTACACACCCTTCGAACTCTTCCTCCCCAATCCCTCATTGTCTACCACATCCTCCGCCCAGCGTATGCTCCTTCTAGTAACCTGATCCGTCCCCGTCCCCGATGCCGTTTCCGCCGTATTATCCGCCTCAGCTCTTAACCTCAAGCGCCCTGTTATTATAAACTGTCGTTGTTGTTGGTGTTGTTGTTGCAGCCCGCCAGTCGTCTCCCCTTGGGTAATTGTGCTGGTGCTGCTGGTGGCCCCCGCTGTACGAAGCCTTTGCGTCATTGCTCCTCTGTCTCTAGACATTGTATGGCTGCTGTCCCCAAGAGGGGCTAGATCGCGCTGAGATTGATAAAGGATTGGTAGAGCGGGTGCGCGGTATGTGACGCGAAGGGGCGTGTAGGAATATCACGGGTTCACTTGGAGGAATGGCGGGCTGTGTTGGATGTATCGTATATCATATAAATCCTGTGTTGGATTGGAAGAGTGGCAAGTATGAGAGGTTGGTATCCAGTTCTGGCAGTCACGTGGATCATCTCATAGGAAAAATTGACTCGCGGGTTACAGTGGAAGGAGTGTGAATCATGCATGTATATATGTATATATATATATCTCTTGAGGAATAGGTGGCTACCTTAAGGATTGGTCTTTTTTGGCGTAGTGGTAAAGCCTTCCTACAGGATTGCATGTTTTACAAGGAGTTCTAGCACGATTGAACCGGGGATCAAATAACTAAATATCTTTTCTTCCCAGGGGGAATCAATTAAATTTTTCTGAAAAATGTAAAAAAAATAAAAATAAAAATAAAGAATATAACAATTCCAATCCGGTCACTTCGAGTTCCTTTGTCATTTCCACTCTTTCTCTCCTCCCCCATTTTCATTGTATAACTTTTCTTTTTTGAAGGTCTGACTGAATGCAGCCAGCATCCGCTTTTTCCTCAATCATTTTTAAACCAGCCATTATTATTAACCTTGGATAGTAAAACAAAATAATATCCTAGTACAGGTATCAGCGGCAGCAGTAACGGTATCGCGTCAAGGTAAAACAGAGGAAGTCAGTCCTCTTCTCCATACAACATAAAAAGAACCCTGACCCTTTGAAAAACTTCCACCGACCAAGCTGTGGAACAGGTACGCATCATTGAGCTGAGCTGAGCGGCTCCCTCTTCTGTTTTCCATTATTTTAAAGTAGGAAAGGTCCAGAGAGCAAATATAAAAGAAGAAGAAAAGAAAAGAAAAGAGGGAGAGAAAAATACCAATCAACCAAATGATAACTTGAAATCGCTACCGATCATCGTGAAAAACTTCAAAAAAAACTTTCCTATTTTTCTGATTCTCTGATGTTATCTGATATCTTTTTTTGTAAAAAAAAAAGAAAAAAAGAAGTAAACAAACAAGTAGTCAACAGCGGTACAAGGCCCAACCATCTAAGCCATCCTTATTATGATCTGTGCCCGCTGCTGATTGACGATGGTGAGAAAGGGAGGAAGAAATAGGCGACTGGGAAGAAACTGTAAAATCCCCCACCTCCACCTGCACACCCGCTGGAGCAACTTCTGCCCGGAGCTCTTCGTCCAGTCACAACTCCTCCTCCTGATCCATCTCAGCCGGCTTCAACAGTCCACCAACTTTCATCTGCCGATCCCGCTCGGCCATCTTGGCGTCTCGAAGCGCCTGCTCGCGCTCCTCGGCATATAACTCGGCGTTGTCGCCAGCAAATTCTTTTAGGGAGATTAAGAAGTCGCGAAGGTGCGTTTTGAATTTGTTGAAATCGTCGTTGAAATCAAAGAGGCCGTCAACGAATTTATCTATTTGGGATCTGTGGGGTTTAATGTATAATGATTAGGAATGCGCTGCAGAGACACAGAGAAAGATGAAGGCTATGCTATATATCTAGCTTAAGCTATTACTCACTGATTTAGATTCAGGAACGTAAGATTCTTCTTCAAATATGCCGTTAGGAGGTCTCTATTGGAACTTTGGTCCGTTTCATCCGCCGGAAGTATGCGCCCGGGGATCTTGTCGATTTTGACAAGATAAAGCATACGAGAAAGAAGCATAGCCTGGTTTTTGAACCCTATAAAACAGAAAACGGAAATTAGCAAAATTGGGAACAGATTTAACGCACTACCCCCTATATTCGGCACCGAGGACAAGGGGGAAAAAATCGAATGGACATACCAGCTTTATGACTACTATCAGTAAGAACGGCAAAGACATTTTGAAGGATAGGCATGTAAAATTGCTTGAAGAAATGGCTCGATATTTGAGGGTCCGTTTCGGTCATATTATTCACCAGCTCAAGGAATATTGTCAAGGCGGTATTTTCCACCTCTCTGTCATCATGCTTGCTCGCCTTCTCGACCGATTCGATTACATACTTGAATTGGTTTTCGCTGAGTCGTATGAGGGAGGGGAAACAGTAAAGATTAATGGCCTGGAGGAGCTTGAAGTGCTCCACGTAGTGTTCGGGATATTTGTGGGAGTCGGCGTCCAGCATTGCTTGCGTACATGCGAATACACATTCCATGATAAGGGGAACTTTGTCGTCCATAAGATTCTGTCGTATTGTTAGCTTTGCTGCAAATGGAGTGGAATGAGTCCTGTCGAAGGACAATAGAAGAAGAGGACTTACATGAAGTTTGTGGATGAGGGTTGTCATAACGTTGAGGACCTCAGCTTCCCGAGCATCGGGAACATTGTTGTTGTAATCCACAAGGACAGCATCCAACAAAGGAGGTACCATATTGGTATTAACCATTTCCAAATCGTCTGCCTTTTCCACGTAGGTGCCTATAAGCTTCAGGATCTCCTTCTTGATCGTCCGCAGGCCCCGAACCTTGGGCATTTTTGTGGCATTTTCTCCTGAATGGTAAAAAATGGGGTTAATATCGGACAAACTCATAATTAGCTATTAAAACAAGGGAAAGAACTCACCACCCCTCGCAACAGCATCAGATATAAGTGGGCTTGTCGCTCTATACATATTGAGCATATCATGATAGATACGGCCTATCTGTGAGTCGAAGAAACTCCCAATTGACGAACACGCGGCAACGTTCGTCTTCATAATATTACCAATAATCTTGATGGTCTCCGGATCTTCCAGAATGGATGGATTCTGCGTGGCTTGGCTGATAATCGCATCCCAGGCTGAATTCGGAAGCGCCATAAGGTTCTCAATCAGCCGATCTTGAAGGCTCTTCTGGCCCTGCGCTGAAATCATATAGCCACAGGCCTCGTAGAAGGTATGAATTTGTTGTGGGGAGAGGTCGCAGGTGATTTTCCGCATAGTTCGGACGATTTCTTCGATAAACGGCTCGCTCTCGCCAGGTTGAAGAGCGACGAAATGGCGCTTGCACTTGTTGGCAATTTTGATAAACGTATCGCAGGCCATATCCTGGACACCTATTGGATTTTTTTCATATGAGCTCCTTTTCTTTGCTGGGGATCACGGATCGAAAAGACTCACCTTCATGCGTCTCATGCATGAACTCGAACAGCTTGTTCACTACCGTCTTCAAAAATTTCCAATGCGCCTTTAAAAACCGAGGATACTGTCCAACTATGTACATGATATTACTCGCCACGACAGCCTTGTTGTCTTTGCCCCGTTTCATTTCCGTCAGGCCAAGCAGGTCTTTGATAACGGTGACGAGAAAGCGTTTTTCGGTCTCCTCATTCATCGCGCCGGATATGGAGCCGATCGCCCAGCACAGCGTATTGCAGTTCGCCCATGACCATTCGGAGCCGTCCACTTGCTTGGCCAATTTATCCGCCATAATGTTTTCAGTGTCCACCACGTCCAAATGGGTCAGGTATACCAGACACTCCCGCGTGGTCTTGTAGAGTTGAATGGTGTCACTCTCTTTGACGAATTCACGCACAATTTCACCCTCATCATTTTCCACGATTAGAACTTCCTCAGGCCTCACCATCTTCTCTATCATCACTACCCTCAGCTCTGATAGGACCTCCTGATATTTGTGTTTTCGGAGGGGGTAGTTGGCTAGGGTGCTAGGATTCGGAGCCCCTCCATTCGAAAGGCCGCTGACGCCCATATTGACTAAGGGGTTGATATCTGTGATCGGGAGCTGTTGCATTTCCTCATACAATTCCTGCACTAGCTTTGTCCAGTACTCGAGGCAGATCTTGAAAATTTCCCTGTCATCGATCTTGCTAATGCAGATAAGGTAATAATGCGCACGGATGAGGATATTGGTATCGGGTAGTTTTTCGAGGAGCTAAAAATAAAAAAGAACGAATGAGGTATCAGGAACAGTCAGCATTAGGATCTTCAATCACCAGAAAAGACGGCGGGTTAGATGAAAGGGTTAAAACCTACATTTAGGTGAACGCTGAAGAAGTTACAAAGGAAGAGGGTTAAATTCAGAATAAACTCTTGTTCACGAGAGTTGCTTGTGGCATATGTTTGCTTGAGATCCATCGGCGAGGGGATCATTTCCGATACCTTCACCATTGTATTCGTAAACATCTGCACAAGCGTCTCGTCAAATAGATACTGCGACCCAATTTGCACACTCCCAATCTCTGTTAGACACTTGAGTGTCAAGTTCATGAAATCGGGCACCATCAAAAACCTCTCAAGCAATTTGCTGATGATCTTCTGATCGAAGGCATATCCTAGCGGAATCCAGTTCAAAAAGCGAAGTAATGTTTCTAACGTGGCTTTGATGAGACTGCTCTGGTGCGCTTCTGCCAGAATTTGGGAAAAGAGGTTGAAAATCAGAGGGAATTCATTGCACATCGCCGTCTTCAGGCGCTTGGCCTTTTCGGAGATCATCTGGTCCTGAGAGAAATCGAACACTTCTTCCGATAGCAGCCGGAATATGGCCATGTTATTTTCACAAACAGACAGATTGGCAGGCGATGCCTCGGTGATCTCTTTGATGAAATTCGGCCAGTTATCCGGCCAATCCTGTTTCAATATGGATACCAGCACGAGATTGAGCTTGTTAAGGAATGCCCTTTCATTCTTTAGTTTCTCCTCCGTATTGGAATGCTCGATGATGCATTCGCAGATAAAATTGCGGATACCTGGTAATGCAGGTTAAAATTTAGCCACTGCAAATAAAGACGAAGGAAAAAGATAGACAAGATGGGAATATCTAGCTACCTTGACGTTGCACAAGCGGAAGGATATTCCATCTTGTCGTGATAAGATCATCCAATACCTGTAAACCGAGATCTATGGCAACAAATTAGCCCACAACATGTCCCCCGGACGCGTAGTATAATGCAAGAGCTGTACGGGGTCATTTTTTACATTTCGTGTAGACATATCCGGATTGTTGAAGGATGTCTGCGACGACGAGCCATGCATCGGGATTTTGCTTGAACTGTAGTTCCCCCAAAGTTATGTCAGATAAAAAGCCGTTTCACCAAATATCAAATCGAACTGGGGAGGGTCAAGAAGAAATGGCGGGCAGGGATGGGATAGTCACCTCAGTCAAGGCATATTCGGCTTGTTTTTGCTGCATAAGAGAGAAACGTAATTAGCAAAATGCCACACACTTGAAGAAGCTGCTCCTCCTCTGGGACTCGTTCGTTGCTTCCCCTTAGCTTTTTTGTGGGAGTTATCCATTGTATCTATCGACATAGATCTGGAGATAGGACCAAAATTTTGAAACAAAAGGGACTAAGAAGATAGAAAATAAGAAGAACACATACAACATCACCTTTCCCTTCATAGAAGGCCCGAACCGTATTATCTAGCTCTGTGATTGAAAACGACATGCCGCGCGCCCCCCAAGATTAAAAAACAACAACAAACAAACACACAAAAAAAAAGGACGGCAGAAGCAGGGGGCGTGCCCACTCAACAGAAGCCGTCTAGAATCTTGGGAGGTGAGGGATTCTGTCTGTTATATTTGGTAATTCGGTGTCTTTTTCTATTCCTCTCTGGTGGCCAAGGGCGGAGATTGCACGGAGGAGCTGCAGATGCTTTTCTTTGCTTTCTTTCCCCCCTTGTATTAAAGAAGAAAAGGGAAAGAAAGAAAAGACTCCGATTTTTCTTTTTTAAAGGTCGCAAAGAGCAAAGGTGCTGGAACGGGAGCTGGAGCTATGGTCTTGTCGAGGGGAGAACCGCCAGGGTGGTGTGGGGGGGGGGGAGGGGAGGGGAAGAGGAAGTTTGCCGATTTTCGCAATTGGGTATCTATTTGTCGGGAGGCGTTCAGCCCTGAGTCCCGTTTGCCTGGGGGCCCCTTTGAAACAGAACGGTGAGGCTTGTCAGCGTTGGTGTTGTGGTGTATATAGCAGCTGGAAACTGTTGTCAAAGCGGTGTCTGCCGAAACTAAGGTAGGTGAACATACCGAATGTGGAACGCGAAACACGGGCAGGTGGGTCAGATACAACGGGCCTAGGATATCAAAGCGGATTGGAAGGGGGGGAGAAGAAGAGAGTTGACAGTGAGAAAAGAGAGTAGCAAAGAGAACTAAGCAACGCGCGATGAGAATGGGAGAGAAGGAGAAAGGAAGAGACGAGAAATGAGGTTTGTGCTAACTCTTGGGACAGCGAACAGGCGGAGTTGATTGGGAAATGCAAACAAGGCTTGGGCTGCTGGGCTGAGGGGTGAAGCTTAGTCAGCCTTCGATCGATCTGTTGCCCCTCTTCCTCTGCTGTTGGAGTCGTATATACATGACAAGCGGGGATTAAATTCGGATAGTTCATCTTGATTTTGCTGTCTCGGAATAAAAAAGGGTGATTGATTATCCTCTACCATAGAGTAGACCAAGCAGATCTATATACGCCGCTGGAATCCCGTCATAGGCCACCACCACCTTCAACCTTGGTAAAGAGCAGAAACCGACGCAAAAGCAGAAAACAAAAAGGATATATATAGTATAACCGGTCAGCTTCTGTTAGATCGTAAGATTAAAACCCACGTAGCAGAATTCCACACTTGATTGTTATAATTTATAACGAAAGAAAACCCCATTTGAGAACCGAGGCCGTTAACGTTCATCCTCATCCATCAGCTCTGGCACAAATCATACTCAGCTATATACAATTCGTTTCTCTCAACGAATCCAAAACGTTAACCATGAAACATGAAGAGTAATCGCACATCATATCATCAGTCAATCAAACAGGCAAAAAGAAAGAGAGAGAGGCAGATAAAACGCATGTAGACGGTACGGATAAAAGGGGCTCCTCCCCTCACCGGGAGGAGAGACGATTGGCCTGCTATCAACCGACGGCAATTTCATTTCGGCAACAGTAAAAAGCCAAAAGGTAAAAGGACGGTTTTTTTCTTTCTTTTCTTCTTTTTTTAAAGCATGAGATGGGTGGTGAAGTGTTCGAACACTGAATAGAAACGTATCGAACGTGGTGTTGTGTATAAGCAGGAAAAGGGACAGGTGTAGTACGGGGAGATGAAGTGGCAACGCAACAATCGAGAACAAACGTCTTTTGAAAAGAAAGAAAAAAAACTCCAAAAAAAAAAAACTCCGAAAGGAAAACAATTTAAAAAAAAAAACAATAAATAGCAGTGAAAATACCATGTAAAAAGAGAGTGCAGAGAGAGCGAGAAACGTAAAAGAACGAGATAACCAACGGCTTGAAAAGAGGGGTCAAACACAATAAGTTAATATTAAACCCTTACAAATCGAGCATTGGAGCCAGCCAGCCAGAATTCGATTGCTGGAGGGAAAGGGGGGATGCAGACTTTGAAATGGACAATTTCAAACGACGGCAATGTCGTGTCTCCGGTTGTTGAACGAGGGCAGCCACTAAATATCATACATACATACGTGTATAATAATATTTAAGGGAAATTAGGCTTCAACCCTTGGAAACCGTACGGCAGTATTTGTTGCTTGACAACTTCTCCCGGGGCAATATACGCACCCCTCCCGAGACTCACACCGGGTAAAATTGTAGCCCCAGCGCCAATCCAACAGTCCTCAGCAATAACGACGGGGCGGCCCTGGTACTTGCTGCGAGAGCCCTTGCGATCCAGCATGCTTCCCATCGCCATGGATCCTAGGATCGTGACGTTGGGGCCGATCCATGTGTGCGCACCTATGTTGATCGGGCAATCATCCGCGAGCAGACAGTTTTCAGATATCAGTACGTCTTCCCCGATGTTGATGTTGTAGCCAAAATGACAGTTGAAAGGCGTTTCGACAATGGCACAAGGCCCCAAGGATCCTACGGGGGTATTGGGGCTTGGCTCGGCTTGCGGGTCTAATGGAGGCATTAGGACTTGTTGTAGGAGTCGCCGGCGCTCATCCGGGCTAATTCCTAGATTCGGATTGCTCGCGTTATTGTATCGCCATAACGCAGCCTTGCACCGTTCTCGCTCTCGGTTGAGCTGTGGGTCAAAATAATTCTGGTACGGTTCCCCGGCAAGCATTTTCTCCTTCTCGGTCTTGGTTGCCTCGAATGCCACGTGGGACTCCATGTTAAGAGCTAACCGAGCTTGAGCCGGGTAGTTGGTAGCGTCAACGTGGGGTTGTTGTTGTTGGTGTTTCGGACGCTGGTCGATATTGCCTTGAAAGACGGGCATTCCACGCTTCTGATGTGGAGCGCCATGGGACATTTCCCGCAGTGCGGAATGATAATCGGATTTTGGTTGCTCTGCACGAGAAATCTTATTAATACCAGGACCATCTCGAGATTGTCTTTGGGCAGGATGTTCCGGCGTGAAAGACGAGGGACCAGACGGCCAGGTAACATTCGACCACGAACCTCTAGATCCCACGCCAGCCACACTTGTGATGTGTTGCGAGGGAACATGAACATGCTCGATTTCGTCTACGGGGATAGGTCTAGACTTGCCATTATTTGTAGGTATTGCAGCAGGAGCCCTATCGTGTCTCTGGGGGCTCATGTCGGGAATGTAATGAGGTACCTCGGAATAGCCATCTTTGGCTTGGAGTGGAACAGGGGCTTTGGAAGTAGAGGGCTTCTGCCAAGTGCTTCGGGACGAATAACCTTCGCATAAAAAGCCACCGCGCAAACAGTTATTACCTGTTTAACAAAACCAACTGTTAGAACATCGTG